AGAGCTTTCTCACCCTCCTAGTGAGATAGTGTTTCCTGATATCCAACCTAGACCTCCCCCACTGCAACTTGAGATCATTGCTTCTTGTTCTATCATCTGCCACCACTGTAGTGGGGGGACCAAAACTGGACACAATACTCCAGGTGTGGCCTCACCAGTGCCGAATAGAGGGGAATAATCTCTTCCCTCGATCTGCTGGCAGTGCTCCTACTAATACAGCCCAGTATGCCATTGACCTTCTTGGCAACAAGGGCACACTGTTGACTCATATCCAGCTTCTCATCCACTGTAATGCCCAGGTCCTTTTCTGCAGAACTGCTGCTTAGCCAGTTGGTCCCCAGCCTGTAGCGGTGCATGGGATTCTTCTTTCCTAAGTGCAGGACTCTGCACTTGTTTTGTTGAAGCTCATCAGATTTCTTTTGGCCCAATCCTCCAATTTGTCTAGGTCACTCTGGACCCTATCCCTACCCTCCAGCATATCTACTCTCCCCCAGCTTAGTGTCATCGATGAACTTGCTGAAGGTGCAATTTATTCCATCGTCCAGATCATTAATAAAGATGTTGAACAAAACTCGCCCCAAGACCAACCCCTGGGGCACTCCACTTGATACCAGCTGCCAACTAGACTTTGAGGCGTTGATCACTACTCGTTGAGCCCGACAATCTAGCCAGCTTTCTATCCACTTTATAGTCCATTCATCCAATCCTTGGATGCATTAGATCTGGACCCATGGACTTGTGCATGTCCAGCTTTTCTAAACGGTCCTTAATCTGTTCTTTCACTACTGTGGGCTGCTCACCTCCACTCCATACTGTGTTGACCGGTGCAGCAGTCTGGGAGCTGACCTTGTCTGTGAAGGCCGAGGCAAAAAAAGCCTTGAGTACTTCCGCTTTTTCCACATCTTCTGTCACTAGGTTGCATTCCCCATTCATTAAGGGTCCTACACTTTCCCTGACCACCTTCTTGTTACTAACTTACCTCAGACATCAGGTAACACATGCTGTATGTCCAGTATCCTTGGTGTTGCCAGTATCATGAATGTACCGAAACTGATTTGGCTTTGATGTATATGGTTTATTTCAGAATGGCAAAATACCTAAGGCCTTAGATCAGGATTTTAAAATTTTCTGCGTGCCTCTATGGGTCTGTTTCATTCATGGGCATTGTGTTAAGTTAATGCATAAATATTAATAGTTTAATGTAGTTTAAAATGTGCAGCTGATTTTCTGCTTGAACACATGCATCCTCCATACAGTAGACCAGTATCTATCACCCTTTGCCTTTTTCCACAATCTCTCCAGCAATGGTTCGCTCCCAGACAGCAACCTTTTAACAAGCTTTTTCTGAAAAGAACTAACATGACGGCTATTCAAAATGAGCAACATTCTGTATAAAGAAGCCCTGAAAGGAGATCTGCTTAAATTTTTACATTAGAAATGCAGGTTCTGACTAGCCTGAAAGATTCTGTGGCCTACACTGGAAAAGCCACCCATTGCTGACAACAGATGTCATCAGTGGTGTTACTGAGTCATTGTTGAATGATTGTAAACTATTAGTACAAGCAAGGAAAGACAACTATAAGCATCAGGTTTCAGAGTAACAGCCGTGTTAGTCTGTATTCGCAAAAAGAAAAGGAGGACTTGTGGCATCTTAGAGACTAACCGATTTATTTGAGCATAAGCTTTCGTGAGCTACAGCTCACTTCATCGGATGCATACTGTGGAAAATACAGAAAATGTTTTTATACACACAAACGATGAAAAAATGGGTGATTATCACTACAAAAGGTTTTCTCTCCCCCCACCCCACTCTCCTGCTGGTAATAGCTTATGTAAAGTGATCACTCTCCTTACCTTTTGTAGTGATAATCACCCATTTTTCATGGTTTGTGTGTATAAAAACATCTTCTGTATTTTCCACAGTATGCATCCGATGAAGTGAGCTGTAGCTCACGAAAGCTTATGCTCAAATAAATTGGTTAGTCTCTAAGGTGCCACAAGTACTCCTTTTCTTTATAAGCATCAGCTACTGTAACTTTAACAATGTTAAAACCCAAACTATAGAGAAATCAGGGGGAGGTTGTTAATTTTTTTTTAAATCCAGTCCCCACTCTCCATCCTATCTCCATCCTTTCATATACCAAGAGGTTTATCACTCACTCTTACGTTTTTATAGAAAATATACTAAATAGTGTGGATATTTAAATTGTTTGATTTTATTTTTTTCCTACTTTAAATACATTAGGCAGGTTTATAGTGGCTTTACTGTAGGTAAGAGTCTCTTGAAAGGTGCTTCTGAAAAACTTGACTTATTTAAACAATCAAGTACTAATGTAATGGTATGGTGTCTGAGCACAGTTTTCAGTAAGTTCTTCCCTCACTCCCAAGCTATCAGAAGCATAGGACGCTTCAGACTTCATTTAATACTTTCTGCTGCAGCGAGTTTTGTGGAGATGGTTTCAAACCAGTAAATATATCCAAGAATTCGTGGTACATAATTATTTTTGTAACACTTAGAGTTCTGCTGTTCAACATAAATGTCTCAGTTTAAATAAAATCCATTAAGGCTCAAGCAAGCATGCCACTGCATACCCTTGTCAGCCTTACAGCAATTTGAAGGCACTCTGTAACTGTCTGCATGCGTCTTGACACACGCCCTGCTGTGTCTTATGGCTCCGGTTTGCCTTTCCAGACCCTTCTTATTGTCCTCTGACTGCTTTAGTCCCTTCTGTGCACATCTCTGCTCTTATCTGACGTTTCCTTCCCTTATTCGTTTCTCCATTCCCACGTGCCGTTATCAAATAAACACACACTTCATTTACTTCCCTCCTTGGTTAGCTTGCTTTCTGCTGGAACTTCCATCACTTCTGTACCTCCTGCTGCTTCAGAGACCCTTTGTTTCTCCATATTGGATCCTTTCCAGTTACAAATCTAGCTGTTTAAATCAGCCTGTATGTGTAGCATTAAATATACCTGAAGCATTTGTGCTCCTCATGTAGATGATTCAACAGGCCCCAATGAGGTATCAATTCTTCAGCTGCTTAGCAGGCTCTCAAGTCACACATCTGACCAAAGTGTGCATTATTATTATTATTAGGAATGCTGGATTGAGACTACCCAAGAAACAAGAATGCTGTTCTTTTTCTGATTTACGGCTGCAGTCTGTTTTTGTACTGCTAGAGTGTTCTCTGTGATGCAGAGATAATTGCCACTGTTGTAAAACGTTCTCAGTGAAAACAGTTGACATAAAACACTGAATAACTACTACAAAAACTGAACTGTCAGCTTTGTTGTTTTGTGATTCACAGTATGTAGCATTTTTCTATTCATTTTGTTTGAAAGATCACTATAGGGATAAAACGTGTAAATTATTCTGTCCTGTGCTCTCAAATATGAAGGTAACATTTCATATTAAAGCTACAATTTGCCATTGCTTTATGAATTTTCATTTAGACATTGGGGGCTGGAGGAAAAATTGTAAAAGAAATGTGTGAAACAGATGACTACAAATGACTGTACATGTGTATTTTTAGGGCCAAGTTCTTTCTTCCTGTCTGAGTAAATGAGCTATGCATAAGGAGTAGTGTACCAAGGCTAGGAGAGTAGTTCACTTCTCAAAAGGGAGAACACTTGCTCACCAATTCATTGGTTGCTGTTGCAATCTGTTCCCCTTAGTAACTCATGCAGCTGCAGGACCCTCACCAGGGGGGGATGGAAAGTGGATCCATGTAACTGTAGATCAGTTGGCCATGCCTTCGCCTTCAATGTGCAGTGACCTAGATCAAACCCCTGCAGAGCTATACTCTATAGCACACTTTGGTGTGGATCCCACTTTTACAAGCTCCCTGCTGTCTATCTGCTACAATCCATATTTTGTCTTTTTTTTTTTTTTTTGGAAGTTCTGCTCCCTTTCAAACCATATGTGCCCCTTGGGTTGTTGGAGGGAGACAATTCTCAGCCCTTAAAAAGATTAGGAGACACCAAAATCAGAATTGGTGTCCATTTAGAAGAGTCAGCAGTCATTATTTTCTGTCGGAATTACATTAGCACCTAGGGGCCCTAGTCATAGACCTGGACCCTGTAGTGCTAGGAGCTGTACATAGAACACAAAGACAGTCCCTACCCCGCAGAGCTTACAATCTATATATAAGACAAGAAACAACAGCTTGATATAGACATATGGGAGTGTAAGGAAACAATGAGACAACACTGGGCAACATGACTGACAGTGGACTCAGCACACTAGTGGCCTAATTGCTGTCAAGTTGTAGGCGGCATGGTAAAAAATAAAAAGTTTTAAGGAATGATTTGAAGGGGAATAATGAGGTAGCTTTTCATGTGATTAAGGAGATCTCCTTCCAACCATGAGGGGGCAGTATGGGAGAAAGCACAAAGGTGCTTATCTGAAAAGTTAACAAGTGGGCCATGCAGGTTGGCATCATTTCAGTAGTGAATGAAAGATGCCAGGTACAGTGAAGATAGGCCAGGAAGGGCCTGGGAAGTAAAGACAAACAGCTTATGTTTGATGTGATAGAGAAGCGAGAGCCAGTGGAAGGATTCAAAGAGAGAGGTAAATTATACTTTTAAATCTTTTCTAGTTTTTGCTATAAATTAGGGACAGAGAGGAATTTAAAACCTTTTTCTTTGATACTTTACACTGTGCCTTTAAACAGCTAGTCCCAGATAAATATGCTAAGTTAATAAACAGTATCCAACAAAACCAAATACCAGATATGTGCATTTTCCATTTTAGTTTATATGAATGTACAGTAGTTAGTGACTTTTGAAACGTACATTTGTTCTTCTCAAAGCCTGTTTGGTTGCATCTATGGTTGCTGACATTCATTATTTCAATGAAAGTGAACAGTAAAAACATATTTGTGATTGCACAATTTAGAAATGATTAAGGTTTGTTCTGGATAAAGGAAGTTCTTAAATTTAAAAGAAAAGCTTAGTCAAAGAAATACATGAACAGTTTTAATTACTTGTTTTTTATTCAGGTGTATGTTACGAGTATTGGATTCATTCGGGACTGAACCTGAGTTTAATCATGCTCATTATGCCCAGTCTAAAGGCCACAAGACACCATGGGGGAAATGGAACCTTAATCCACAGCAGTTTTATACAATGTTCCGTAAGTATCCTTGTTTTCAAATATAATTGCTTCTAGAGCTAGAATTAAAAGTGGATGTTGCCATTAGGGAGAATCTTTGCCGTTTCAAAAGCTAGGTCATAATCTAGTAAAACGCAGAGGATAGGGGGCTTGCAATTTGTTTTTGAATATGCTAAGCTACAGTAAACTCAGCACAAATGCACAAAAGAACAGTGTTAACTGGGTATAAATTTTGGTAAGGAGGTTTATTCTAAAATTAGCTTTCCAACACACACTGATGTCTGGAGTTCACTTTTGTTAGCTTCAGTTTCTCAAACGCTTCTGCAGAGTGATTGGTGGTTGTTTTTTGACGTATCTGCAGAGTGATTCCATTTGGTAGACTAAATTACTGTTGTATTTGATCATTTTAAGTCAGAGTTCTTCAGGCTGTGATGTTGTATTTCTGCCTTTTTCCATAAGTTTTGTCTTTAACTGAACAGAGCACAATGATTTCCCCAGTGCTTTTCATTCAGGTATCATAAACTCACAATCTCCATCATTCAACGTAATTTTTGCATCTGTAGTTTTTCTTGCAGATAGTTTTCAAGGTTTGCTTGCACCCCACCCTGTTTGTTTTCCTGTTATGAGCATTTAAATTGAAGTGGACTGATTCAAATTATTTCAGCCTAACAACCTACAACACTGTTGAAAATTAAAACATGTACTTGAGAACAATGTAGCTGAAAGTTGCACTTATTGACTATTATTAAAAAAAAAGAAAAAAAGTAAAGCTATTCAGTGGCTCTGAAATGTTTTGACAGCTCGTGCAATGCCTGATATGTGCATCTGAAAAATCAGTGTCAGCTCATCAAATTGTTGGAGGGAGTGTGTTTAGATCAATAAAATGGGAGCCAGACCTTTTAGGTTGTATTCCTGTCTCTGCAGTTGTGACTCACTTAATGTGATTTTAGGTAAGCTAGCTAACACCCCCTATGCCATTTCAACAGGCACATCAGCAAAAACAAGGCAAGCGTGTTTATTGGGGGACAGTCAGGTTTTTTCCTTGAAAAGACATAAGATATATGCCTATCCTATATTATTTCCCTTTGGACACAACAAATTAATGAATCCCACCCAATGTTGTCAAAAACATCCCGATAAATCCCAAACATTAGAGTCATTTTGGGTAACTAAACAGTAATAACCTACAGAGGTCCATCAAGAAACCTCCTTTCATTATACCTGTTTCATACACACACAGCTCATCTGCATTTATTGTGAATACACAGATTTATGGTGGTCTGAAACACAGTACATATTTGATTTTTTTTTCCTTTGGACAACCACAATGCATCTTTTCAGTAATGGCAAGGTGTGCACTAATATTGCTCTACTTCAACAATGACTGCTAGAAAAAAGTGTCCCATTTTTCTGTTTTAGTTATAATGGCTCAGTGTATTAGGACTATAGTCAAATATGAGAGAACATTCATGGAGACAGATATCTCCTCCTTGACAGAATGGGGGAAGGCTGAAAGGTCTCCACTTTGCCTCTGTAAATGTCAGGGAGACAGAATAAGATATCGTCTTGTTCACAAATTTCTGAATCCATTGAGTCTTTTCTTCCCTCATAATTCATGAAGTGCACTTTTGAAAATCTTAACCCACATACACTTTAAAAGTGATTTTGAGTGTCCAACTTAAGACCTCTTAAAGAAGGTGAGGGGGAGTCAGCTTCAGAAAGTGCTGGGCCTATGAAAACCAGGCCAATTTCATGTCTCAGTTTGGACACCCAAAATCACTCATGAAAATGTTGACCGTTTTATGTTTAATTTCCATACTCAACTTGGTTTAGTGGATGGTTAGTGCTTGACTACTTGGAAGCATCTTTGTTCTCTTCGATCTTCTATACCAGGTTACGTACGTGGGTTATAGTCACTCTGTCATATGATGGAGAAAGATAATGCAGTCTTCCAGTTTCACCCCTACTTGGTAAGGATCTAACAGCTGCTCAGACTTCAGCAGAAGGTGGAGAAGAGTCACCTTTGCAGGCTGTCTAAGAGCAGGAGAGGCCTGGAAAAAGACTTCCATGAAGTTATGCATAGTTACTTCTGGGATCCAATCCATGTACCAATGCCCAGTGCAACCCCAAAAGCAGGTGATGCTTGCTAGGTAGGGGCATGGTGATAGCAGGCATACTATTCACTGTTCAGACTTGGCAGACAAGTTTGTCAAACTTTCACCTTCAGGGTTTGGGCTATTTTCACCTTGTATGCAGAGGTGCGTGCTGACATTTTGTTCTTTAAGTAGAACTGCTGCCAAAGGACACCTGTGCAGCACTAAGGAGTTAATGCAGGGGTGGGGAACCGTTTTTCTATCAGAGGCCACTGACCCACAGAAAAAATCAGTCTTGGGCCACACCCAGCCCCACAGGCAGGGAGGGGCAGAGGCTCAGGGCTTCCCCTAGGCTCCGGGGTGGGGCCAGAAGTGAGGGGTTAGGGTGTGGGGGGGGCTCCGGGCTGGGGCAGAGGGCTGGGGTGTGGGAGGAGGTGAGGGCTCTGGCTGGGAGTGCAGGCTCTGGTGTGGGGCTGGGAATGAAGGGTTTGGGTTGCAGGAAGGGGCTCCGGGCTGGGGCCAAGGAGTATGGAGTGCAGGAGTGGGTTCAGATCTGGGGCAGAGGGTTGGGGTGTGGGATATTTGGAGTGCGGGGTCTAGGAGGGAGTTAGGGTGCAGGAGGGGATTCTGACGTGGGGCACAGGGTTTGGGGTGTGGGCTCTGGCTGGGTGGTGGTTACCTCAGGCAGCTCCTGGTCAGTGGCGCAGCGGAGCTAGATGCAGGCTCCCTGCCTGCCGGGGCTCCGCGCTGCTCCCAGAAGTGGCCACCATGTCTGGCCCCTATGCAGAGGGGCTGGGGGCTCTGCGCGCTGCATGCGACTGCAGGCACTGCCCCTGCAGCTCCCATTGGCCACAGTTCCTGGCCAGTGGGAGCACGGGGGCAATGCACACAGCTTCCCTGATCACCCCTGCTCCTAGGAAACATTCCGGGAGCTGCGTGGAGCCAATCAGACTTCTGCCAACCCAGCGCTCAAGGCTCCAACCCCACGGGGACGGTGGGGGTGGGCGGACGAGGCTTGGGGCTTCTGGCCCGCGGCGCTGAGACTTGCAGTGGACCGGATCCAGCTTGCGGGCAATAGGTTCCCCACCCCTGGGTTAAAGGAACAGAGACAAAAAGGTGGGGTTTTATTTTCAATACAGTAACTGCAATAAATAATGAGGAGTGAAAGGAAGAATTACATGTTTGCCGAATGTTGAGAGATATCTGGTTTGTGCCCAGTGTATCTGAGAAATAGCTCAGGAACATTTTGAGAGTTTTGCCAATAGGCTGCCAAACTCCATGAGAGCAAGGCTTATCTACTGTGCAAGTGCTGACAGTCAAAAGTAAACCAAACCAAATTTATTTAGAGCACTGTGAAGCTTGTCCCTGAATTAATGGGAGTTCCTCATTGTTGCAGATTCTGTAAAAGAACTCCTTACTTGCTTTTTCATTGTTGGCTATATTTGGGGCTACTTGCCAAGCCATGGTTACTTGCTGTCTACCATGCTGTTGAATTTAACTGCTCTGTAAAAATCTAAGAAACCTATTTAGTTGGTCATGCACTATGCATACAGTCCTAGAGAAGTACAGTGAAAGTTGTTCAGCAAATAAAGGAGCTGCATTCACAATTGTTTAGTGGGAAGTAACAAAAAATACAGTAATGATTTGTGACCTCGGAGATGTAACTGAATAGGACAGTTCTAGGCAGGGTTTGAGAGATGGTGGATGGTTGAGCAAATGTGCCTTTTGTTTCTGGTGACCTAATCACATATTCTTGGTTCATGCTGAAAATAGAAATTTAAAACCAGGGCTCATTTGTGAGACATTATTTAATACAATTGGTACATAACTTTCTGTGTGAGGCCCTGCACAAGATAGCACCTCAGAATGGTGGTGCATTGGGATGATAGTAGCTTGTTCTTAGTCCCTCTGTTTAATGCATGCTAAATTTCCCTTTTTTATTTAAAGGGGAAAATGTTTTTAATGCAGCAAAACAGCAAATATTGTTTTTATCAATTAATGAGTGTGCATCCAATGGTCTGAGCAGCAGGCTTGAATACACAAGTCCTGATTGCTAATCTCAGCTATGTATCTGATTCTCTTTATGGCATAACCTTTTTTTCCTCTATTTTTCCCCCTTCTTAAATGTGGGTAATAGTTATCCATGTTTAGAGATTTTGTAAGGTTTAATAGTTCTTAAAGTGTTGCATATATACTAGGACTTACTACTACTCTTACACAGAACAACTTCATAAATTATATTCAAAACAGTATATGTATGCATAAACTATTGGCATTTAACAGATACTATCCATCCAATTTTACAATTCTACATATGGTGGTTATGCTGACTCTTCAGTACTTGGCATTTTATCACAACAGAGATGGTAAAAATATAAGTCAACCAAACTCATTCTGAAGCATGTGCAATTGCAGTGCTAAATTTGATGGGAAAGAGCCAGCTTTCTTGGCCTCTCACTCACGCAGAGGTAGCACAATCTTTTATTGGGTTGTGATCTTAAAATACTTATCAGTAAAGATTTTACAGTGTGATTGTGACTCAACTTTACTTCTAGGGCTTTGTTTATGAGGGCAAGAAAATTACTGCTGGATAAAAATCAAGCAAGTAGGAATCAGGCAGGCAAAAGTTGGTAGATACTATCCATCCAATTTTACAATTCTACATATGGTGGTTATGCTGACTCTTCAGTACTTGGCATTTTATCACAACAGAGATGGTAAAAATATAAGTCAACCAAACTCATTCTGAAGCATGTGCAATTGCAGTGCTAAATTGCTAAATTTGATGGGAAAGAGCCAGCTTTCTTGGCCTCTCACTCACGCAGAGGTAGCACAATCTTTTATTGGGTTGTGATCTTAAAATACTTATCAGTAAAGATTTTACAGTGTGATTGTGACTCAACTTTACTTCTAGTGCTTTGTTTATGA